AGAGAGAGAGAGAGAGAGAGAGAGAGAGAGAGAGAGAGATTTCTTACCTGGGTTTACTCTGCTAGGCCATTGGCCAAAACAGCTTAATTCATTAGCCCATAAAAGCAACACATATTCAGAAGGACATCCCATATCATTTCCCTTTTTCGGTCTGAACAAAAAGGAAAGTTTTAACTTTAACGTAGTGAAGTTACATATAACACAACAGTTATTAAGGAAAACTACAGTTTCAACTTTAGTCTATTTGTATTGGAAAAAATTAAAAAATATTCTATCATCTATGTTAACTTTGTGAGCCTAAAGTTTCGTATCTAATGTATCTATTTATCATAACTAAGGAAAACTATAATTATAACTATCTAGTCTTCAACTCCATCAAAGACCCCAGAAGGATATAATATTACCTAAGTAAACAGGAAGTGCATTGTAAGCAATTTGTACTGACGAAGTTTGTCAGTTGTTTTCTTCTGTGTTGCACAGGATGTCTGGTAGTTTCTTCTGTGAAGCAAGAACCATGAAGAACCATCTTGTCTTTTGGAAAGTTCAGCAGTCACTTTTCTGTGGGTGCTACATGTCCAGTTTATACAGCATTCCATCAAGCCGTACAGGCAAGGACAGTTTCTTGCCCAAACAGCTAGCCTTGTCACAGTGGGAGTGGTAGTGTCTCTTACCCTTTTCCCTGTTCTTGGGACCCTTTTCCTCCTACTTCATTGCCTTTCTCTGTCTTGATATAAGGTTGTGTGCCTAATCTTATTGTATCTTGTTACACTGTGTTTGTTTGATATCCCTTGATGGCCTGCTCTTTTCTGAAGGCATATGTTGATGGAGGCTGATTGTTTCCCAGCCACCCAGACCTGAAATAATCACTCAGAAACTATATTAATTACAACACTGCTTGAGATGCCATATAGCTGCCAAAGCAGACATACACCAGAACCTTGAAGATAGAGCTATGGCCTCATGGTGATGCACAGATTAATAGAGATTAATAAATATGTTGATTTAAGATGGAAGATTTAGCTAGAAATATGCACAAGCTAATAAGCCAAGAAGTGTTGCAATTTAATAACTAGCTGGGCTATGGTGGTACACACCTTTAATCCCAGTACTCAGGAGGCAGAAGAAGGAGGATCTCTGTGAATTTGAAGCTAGCCTGGTCTATAAGAGCTAGTTCCAGGACAGGCATCGAAGCTACCGAGAAGCCTTGTCTTAAAATAAATAATCAAACAAACAAACAAAAACAAAACAAAAAACTTCACCCAACAAAAAGCAGGAAGCAATTTGGAGAGAACTATGCCCAAATTTCCAAATATTGTTTATAAATGTCTGTTTACATTTAAAAG